CCCCCCCGGGGAAATTCCAGTGTTCGGGTCTGTTCTTTCTCACCCCCCTTTCTCGAAAGCTCAACTGCCTACGGTGGCTTCCCGCTCTCTTTTTTGATCCAATTTTCCCTTTCCATTCTCATGCCACTTTCTGTGTACACAGAAGGCTCTAAAATCTTTAGACGGCGTTTGGATTGGGAGCATGTTTTGGACAAACGTGTTTGGGGGAATTTACTATCTTTTAGCTACATTTTTTCTGCTGAACTGTATGCCATTCTTGCAAACACTTATTGTTTTCGACTAAAGCCTATGTCATCATTTTGGAGTAGTCTCAGACTCCCCTTTGGGGCTCTACAGGCTATACAAAAATTTGGGGAAAATCTCTCCCCCAGTTTTTCCGTATCCAAATTTGGGTTTCGCCGTATCTCTACCAAAAATAAAAATATTGTTTTTTGTTGGGTCCCTGGTCATGTCGACTTTCAGGGAAATGAACCAACACTGCGCGCGGTCAGCCGTACTTACCTTCCCAATTTTTCCCATCGAGGTGTCCCATTTTTGCTATTTTGCAAATAGCAAAACCCCTTCGCACCCTTGGCAAAACGTTGGTAAACTCTGTCGGTAACAAACTTCATTCATTAAAAACCGGGGGTAGGTTACTTTGGGCCCCTTTTGGGCATCAGTGCCGAGGTTGGGAGACCCTCTCTCCCGCCTTCGCATTGGCCACCCCCGTCTTACTCATGGGATCTCTGGAAAGGCACCCCGTCCTCTCGGACGTGTCAAGTTCCAGTAAACGAAATTTTCCACTTTTTTAGACTGCCCTCTCATCAACGAGCACGCAGAATTTTTTCCCCCAAAATCGTTTTTCGTTCTCTAAATTTTCTTTAAATTTCCCTTTTTTGCTGATGGGGCCCTTTAATCCTGACTCCTCATTGGGCTTCCAAAAACGACTGATTTATCCACAAACTTGATGATACTTTTCGCACTCCCCCCACCCCTTTTTGTTCAGTCTCTTGCTGCCCCTTTAACCCCTTTTACCATCCCCTGCCCCCTGTTTTCCGAAAACCCATTATCTTTTTTCTCCCTTTTCCACCCGATGGGCCCCCGCTTCCTTTCCCGCCCTGCGCGCTGTATAGTCCTTGTGGGTTTTGCGCTTCTTTTTTTATTTTTAAAATAAAAAATTGATTATAATAATAATCAAGGGAGGTTTCCCCGATGCTGGTGACCCCAAAGGAAAGGGCACTATATAGCCCCCTTGTGGTTTAGGGACTTTTTCCCTTTTTTTTATAATAATAATCAAGGAAGGTTCCTTGGGTGGTGGTGACCCCCCAAGGAAGGGGCCTCCCTTTATGCTGGTTTAGAGGGGTCTTGATCTAGGGAATTGGATCTGTGCTTCGGTTTCCGAAAATTTAAAACCCAATACTTTCCATATCCATATCCTGATGACACTCTTTAGGTCACTTTTTATTAGGCGGAATATTGCTGCCCCCACTAACGCACCTTTCAAGGCAAGGGGGAAATTGCTAAACCCAGAAAAAGTACAGAAACTTCACGGGGGGCGCATAACGGGGGATAAAACACCCCAAAAACTGGGAGGGACTTGAAGGTTTTTCCTAAACCTGTATTCCCCGGAACTCAGGCGGGAGATGTGATTATATACCCCCGGAAAAACCCAGAGGGACTAGTAACCCAAATTGCACAGAAAATCCCCCTCCTACGAAAGCAAAAGACTTGGAAGAAAACCAAAATCCCCCCCAAAGAAAAAAACAGGGGTGTCACTAGCACGTTAAAAAAGACCAAACCAAAAAAGTGTCAGGGGGGGACGTTCAACTGCCTCCCAGCATACATTAGGGGGGGTTTCCAAAAAAGAAACCCCCGGCAGTCTTCAAGCTGGCACTGGGCAAGCACCCAAGTCGGTTCCCGACCAGCCGGGCCCGTGGCTCGTACCCTTGGTTTTTTGGTTTCAGCCAGCAGCAACAGCCTGGTTGATCAGGCCTGACCACCAGGAGGCCTGGGGCAAAAGACTGGGGCCCCGGGGGGGTTGAACCCCGGAACTTCCCCCCAGGAAACCCAGGTAATTTTCCCTCCACAGGGACTGTAAAAAATCCCACGGGGTTTTGCGAAATTTTCCCCCCCGATTATAATAATAATTTAGGGTGGTGAAAGGGGCTCCCTTTTCAAGGGGAAATTTGGGTCTGTTTTCCCCCTTTAAATGAATTGAGCCAAAAATTTCCTTTTACCCCCCTCCCCCTGGTGCGTTTTAATCATTTGGGTTTTTGGCTCACCCAGGATGTGGGCCCAAAGCCCTTTTTGAAATAAAAATACCTGCCTGGAGTTTACCTGGAGGGTATTCTGAGGATCAGCGCCCTTGCAGCCCAGTCGCTGTATAGCCCTTGTGGCTTAGCGCTTCTTTTTTGATTATAATAATAATAATGCAGCCCAGTCCACAAGCAGGCCTCCCGGTGGATCAAGGCCTGATCAATCAGGTTGTTACTGCTGGCTGCACGTAGTCCAACATACAAACCACAGGTCGGCTGATGTGGCACCAACTTTAAGTGTCTGTCCATCTCCCTCTTGAAGGCAGCCAGGGGCCTATTGGAAATTTCCCTTATGCATGGTGGGAGGCTGTTGAACAGTCTTGGGCCCCAGACACTTATGGTGTTTTCTCTTAGTGTACCAATGGCACCCCTACTTTTCATTTGGGTATTTTGCACCACCTGCCCAGTTTTTTACTTTCATAGGGAGTTATTTTTGTGTGCAGATTCCTTCTAGGATTTTCAAAATGTAGATTATGATATACTCTCTCCCCTGCATTTCAGTGAGTACAAGTCAAGTGCTTCCAAGTGTTCCCAGTAGTTGAGGTGTTTGATGGAACTTATATGTGCAGTAAAGGTTCTCTGTACACTCTCTAGATCGTCAGTTTTGCCAGCTTTGAACGAAGATGTTAATGTGCAGCAGTGTTTCAGCCTAGAGGGAACAATTGGCTTCGCATCTCTTGTTTTGAGCATTCTCAATATCCATCCTATAATTTTCTCTGCAGTTGTGATTGTGGCACTGTTGTGATCCTTGAAAGTGAGATCCTCAGACATTTACCACTCCCAGGTCCCTCACATTATTTTTTCGTTCTATTGTATGATCAGAGTTTGTAGTATATTCAGTTCTGATTATTATCTCCTCCAGTTTTCCATAATGGAGTAGTTGGAATTTGTCTTCACTGAACATCATATTGTTTTCCGTTGCCCATTGGAAAAATTGGTTTATATCTTCTTGGAGGTGAACCGTGTCCTCTATAGACAACAGTCTCATGCAAATCTTAATATGTGTATTGTCTGCAAAGGATGACACTGTGCTGTGGATTACATCTCTGTCTATGTCTGATATGAGGATGAGGAACAGGATGGGGGGCAAAAACTGTGCCTTGTGGAACAGAGCTTTTCACTATGGCAGCTTCTGATTTAACTCTGTAGCACTCTTGCTTGCTAGGTGAACAGGGACAGCAGGTGTAAGGACACATGCCCAATGTTTCCACCCAGCCAGGGATTGAACCATGAATACTTGGTGTGTGAGGAGAAAGCGTTGCCTACCAGGCCACAGTCCATTTGCTTTATGACTTGTGGCTCTGCATGACTCGTGTGTGATTAGTGCTTGTATGTGGTGTGATAATGTTTCTTTAAGCATTTGTGTATGTCAGTGGCTTAGGAAGCCATCTTGTATATGGTATTTGCTGGATGTATTACCTCTGTGGTAAGTGCCCTGGCGATGGTGAAGGACTCTTGATCCAAGGAATTGGAGTTACCCTCCTCCTCTTTTTGGATCATACTTGGCTGCCTTTCATGCTCCAGGGACTATATACTGTAATTCTTTGGGTCAAGCATTTTTCCATATAATACAGTAATAATAACACTTCAGTAATGGATTAATAGACATTATTAAAGGATGGAGCAAAATAGGATGACTTGGAGGGTGTATAAATCTGTAGTGTAGAGAAGATGGGGTAGGGGTTGTCCTTGGTAAGGTTAGAGGGAGGGGGTAAAGGAGGATTTGTATACAAGGGGCTTGGACATCCAAGAGATATGTGTGAGTGTATTAGATAGGAGTGAGTGGAGCTATTTGAGTTGGTGTCGTTATCGAAGCTTGTTCGTTGGGTAACATTGATAATGGGTTGGGTGAATATTTTTCATAGTGGGTTTGGATTTCACAAGGACTTGCCAAGTATGGGCCAGTAGGTTTGCTTCAGTGTTCCTCCTTTCTTATGTTCTTATGGCTTGCATGCTTTTGGAGTGTGAGGAAGATAACACTTATGAAGGGATTCAGGGAAACCAGTTAGCTGGACTTAAGTTCTGGAGGTGGGAAGTACATACAATGCCTACATACTGAAAGAGGGGTGGAGATACTGCAGTTTGGAGGGGCGTCTGAGCTGTAATGTCGGCAAACCTCTGGTAAGATGATGCTGTGAATGATGGTGAAAGTGTTTCTTCTTTTTAGGGTCGCCCTTCCTCTGTGGGAGATAACAAATATGTTAAAAATACTGATGATAGTAATAATAATAATAATAATGTATTTGCTGGTATTCTTTTTTTTCTTTTTACACAAATCAGTTTTACAGGCTAAGAGTTGTTATCATACTTCAGCTCATTTCAAAGCCCAGCCTATCTAACTTATACTACCACTCCTCAGGATGATGAGATAAGATTTTGTTCTGATTTTTAACCCCTGAAGGGTTAGCCACCCAGGATAACCCAAGAGGGGCAGTGCATCATCATATTTAAATTTGGGGTCCTCAATCTTGTCCCCCAGGATGTGACCCTTACCAGCCGGCTGACACCCAAATATGTACCTACTTACTGCTAAGTGAACATCTGCAGCAGGTGTAAAGAAACATTCCCAACATTTCCACCCATACTGGGTCTTTATAACAAATGGCTCTAGTTATAGGTCTGACTTATATTTTTGTGCTCTGCATGACCAATTTTGGTTTAGTGCTTCATTATGAATGTAATAATGATTTATTTTGATGTTTACAGGTACGTTTCACCTGAAAGATGTTCGGCATTCAGCCTTGCCAACAAGTATTAGTTCTTTGGAGTACTCCAGTTAATGATGAGGAACTGCAAACTTTAGTTGGAGAACTGAAGGTAAGGAACCCTCTCATAACCTATAAAATTAATTCCACTCAAGAGGGGTGCCTTGATGGTTGGGAAGGACTCTTGATCTAAGGAATTAAAGTTACTATGCCCTCCTCAACCTTAGATAAAATCTGATTACCATCCATTTCTAAAATGTTTAGGGCTAAAGGCCCTAATTTTGAGGGGTTCAGCAACCCCTCAAAATTATGATGTGCAAAATTGACCATAATGTATTCCTCGATTTGCAACATTTGCCCTGTGGTTACTTTCTGCTATAGCCTGAGTAGTCTGATAATACCCTTTGTTTTAAAATACCTTACTGTATACCATAACTAATCCCAGTGTATTTGCTGAATTCATTCAGTGAAAATGCTGGAAATTCAGTCATTCTGTGTTGACAAATTCCAGTAGGAATGATTGTTATATATATAGTAAAGTACTGTATAACATTACATATTTTTTCTTATTAGTGTGGCCCCCCTTAAAAATCTAAATGTTGTAACTTTTGTGAATATACTCTGCACTGGCAAAATGCCCAACTTGGCTGAGCTTATGCCATGAAAGTAAATACCATACACCAATTGTATTTGTTGAGGTAATCAATCCCTCATCCTAGGCTGAGGGACTGTTTACCTCATCTTCGACTGTCTGCTGTATATATTTCTACAGTCTTCATATTATGTCCATGTAATGTATTGATAAAGCCACTGGATGGCAAAACATCTACAAGTAAAGATACCCAGATGCTGCATGTGTGTCTAATACATCATCTTGTTGGTACTGAATACCACTGATATACAAAATGAGTAGTGACTTCTTACCTTTAGTGACAGCCAAACCTGCATGTGCTATTCTTCAGCTCCTTCAGAAGTTTTCAGTATATGTTTATTTGAATATGACTTAAATGCCTTAGCAAAATTACATGTGAAAGATCTTCTTAGGAAGGTCCTAAGGAACTTTACCCCATCATTCATAGTACTGTATTTTGTTTGTGTAGCATATGCAGAGGTCGTAGCATTAAAATATTGGTTTTCAATTCCAGTCAGCAGTTGGAAATGAAGGAAAGGTAGCAGTTGAGAACTCAGATATGTTAATGAGCTCTAACCATCAAGCAAGTTCCTTTGACCATGTACTTGCTGGAGTTCTTCCCCCATTTACATTTCTGTGTCCAGTCAACATCTTAGGTGAAGCTCTTCGTACTCTCAAACCCAATGGATGCTTAACAGTGAGAACAACAGACACTAGCAGTACACAGTCTAATTTGAAACTTGCAGGTTTCACTTCCATATCAGAACCAAAAAATGCAAATCTTACTGATGAGCAAAAGAGGAACCTCACAACACCAGTTGTAGAAGTAACATGTAAAAAGCCTAGTTTTGAAATTGGCTCTGCAATGAAGCTGTCCTTTGCAAAACCAGCTGTATCAAAGCCATCAGCTGGCACATGGAACATTGATTTAGATGATGACATTGATCTTACTGACCCAGATGACTTACTCACAGAAGATGACTTGTTCCGTCCTGATCCAGCAAGTCTGAAGGTGTGTGGAACTACAGGGCAACGCAAAGCATGTAAAAACTGTGTCTGTGGCTTAAAAGAAGAATTAGATGAGGAGAATAAGAAGTCAGTTGAAGAAAACAAGAAAAACTTTAAATCCTCATGTGGTAACTGTTACCTTGGAGATGCTTTTAGGTGTGCTTCTTGTCCATACCTTGGGATGCCAGCATTTAAGCCTGGAGAAAAGGTGAAACTTGCAGACAACACTCTCCAAGATACTACTTAAAGAATGACATCTCATAAGGAGTAAGGCAGTACATCATGTTAATGTAATACATTATGATTGTGATTGTAGTTGTTGGAAAAGATTACATTTAGTTAACAAAGATGAAGAATAAAAGTCACAATACTAGAAGTGAATAGCAAACCTTGTTTCAGTCTGCCCTTATGCCATTACAAATTGTAAGCAGAAACATGTTTTTGTTACTTTTCACTTTTTTTTTTTCCGAGGTAAATATGACCCTTGTAGATTAAGTGCTTAAGATTATAATAATAGAGGTAAATAGTAATCTTAGAATTTGTGTGATGCTATGGATTCTTTTCTATCTCCTGTACCTATTAATACAGGATATTTTTAATTATTGTTATAATCATAACTAGGCACTAAACCCATAAGAGTCATACAGCACATTTTTTTTTTCCCGCTCTTATATACACGATATCCTCTTTTGCTTGTTATAGAAATAATGCCTTTTCTGATGTTCTTGTCTACCACTCTGGGACTGGCTTTTCATTCTCTGTTTACCTCAAGTTTGTGCAGCAACATGTACTGTACATTCACTAATTCTCTTAACATATGCAAGTTTTAAGAGAAGTGTTCGAGTAGTAAAAGTGTGTGATACCAGCAAGTAGTTGGAAAAAAGACCCAAATTGAAAATACAAAGTCACTTCATGGGAAACATTTCAATTCTGGGACCGTGATCACTTCCAAGGTCTCAGGACTGAAATGTACCTAATAAAATGTCCTGATATTTGCAGAAAGTTTGCTAGTTTCTCGCTCTCCCATCTTGTATCTGTTATCCCGTCTCTCTCTTCTGTATCCATTCTCGACGTGACTATCTTTAAAAGTTTCATAAATTCAGCCTACTCGTTAAAAAAGAACTTTCTCCTCTAAACCTACCTCTGTAGTGAAGCCTGTACTTTTGTTTTTCTTTTTGATTAATTTAAATTTATATCCCATCACTGTGTTTCTACTCATTTGAAACTTGATAATGGTTCAGGAGAGATTCGGACTTTGTCCAGTTTTCACTTGCAATTTGTGATTTGAGAGAAATTAGGCCATTATTGTACGTATATTATTGAGCTACATAATTTTTTCATGCAAATACACAAGAGGCTTATATATATTTTTACTGAAGGACTTGATTTTTTATTTTTGCAAATGCAATATATGCTAAATGTTAAATTTTCATCAATTTCTTTGTTACTTCTACTCATTCAGTATTTGTGATCCTCCCTAATTTTTATGGTACATTTTGTGTACAGCAAAAAGACAGTTGGTTATGGCAAAAACTTAAGGTTTTGTAATTTATAATAAATTAATATTTGTGTATACAGTACATTATTTTGAATGGTGTATGTTTACTATATAGTACTCAAGATAATGCACATACAGTACAGTATTTTAAATATTATAGCTGCTTACACTACTGTGTATTTTTATGTATAAAATTTACACTTGCATAGCTTAGGCTTAAATCTTCAGGATGGTGTACAGCTAACAGCGATTATGAATTATTCAGAGTATAAGGTAAACTATAATAAGCTGTCTTATGGTAATTTTTTTTTTTTTTTTTAAATTTTAGCTGCTGCTTCTGCTTTAAAACTTTGTCCTAATATTTATGATAAATGGATAGAAATGTATAAATACAAATTTATTTATATGTTAAATGTAGTTTAGTAATAGCTTTTCATTAATTATTAACTCAAAAGAAGCTTGTACAAAAAATTATTACTAACCATTGCAAAAATAAGAGATGTAAGCAAAAAAATAATAATTGCTGCATAAATTATGTAAGTTTTCAGTTACTGTAGAGTAAATGCATTAGTATTTATGAGAAGAGCTAGTTTTATGCTTGAGCATGTACAGGACACTGTTTATCAGTTATAGTTTGATGGTTATATATATTTATTTTGCTGAATGCTGTATGTGCTATGTTCAGAGAGATGTTGAGGGCCCAACACCACGACAAGCATCACTGAAAATTTTTATACTGATTTGGCTATAATAGAGGGTGGTAACAACGAACAGTTTTATGGAGCTGTTCACTGATATTTCTTGGACTTTCATTGGCCTCAACCAAATGCTTCCCATCTTGCAACAATCCTTTCTGAAGATTTCACTGTTCTTATAGACCTCTGTTTCCTTTGTAATGTATGCAAATGACCCAATTCTGGAAAACTTGTACACTTAGCAAATACAATCCTATAAAACTGTTGAGATTTTTTCATTATTAGTGAATTTATTACTTTTATTGCTGATATGTGTGTGAACATAAGTGATTGCAGTCACTTGACTCTGATCAGCGTTTTCTTTCAGTATTTAATTTCAAGGAAGGAGTGCTAAACCTATAGGGGTTATAGAGAGCTTTGGGGAATGGAAGACAATCAACTCAAGAAAAGGGAGAACAGCAACCATTCCTTGAATCAAGAGCCCTTCCCCTACATCAAAGCACCTCCCTTTAGTTTTTTTTTGGGGGGGCCATTAAATGTGACTAAGCTATATTGTTAAAACTTATCTGTATGGTATTAACACTTGTATCATTAGCATACAATGCTGTATGACCTTTGTGGGTTTAGTGCATAGTTTTGATTATAATAATAATTGATATACAGTATATGCAAGTATAATTTGTCATTAGTATGTAGAACAACAGTATAGCTTTAACTAATCCCACAATACCTTAATACTTGTGAGGAACCTGTATTTATTCTCTATGTGGATCAGACCTGATTGCCTCTCATTTCTCCAGGTACTGTATACTGCCTTTAGTGCTTTACCATTTTTTTTTTTTTAACATGTCGGCCGTCTCCCACCGAGGCAGGGTGACCCAAAAAAGAAAAAAAATCTTTCACCATCTTTGCAGAGGCACCCAGACATGACAGTTTAGATGTTGCTAATAACTAAATAATTATAACTATCTTTAGGTTACTAAAAGCAATTTGAGTTTTTATAGAGAGAGCAAGACTCATGTTAGGGTATGTAGGACAGGGGAACATTTCCCATTGAAAATAGGACTTGGACAGGCATGCATGATGTCACCATGATTGTTTAATATATTTATAGATCGGGTTGTAAAACAAGCGAATGCTAGGATGTTGGGATTGACTTTCAGGGAATCCTTTGTTTCCAGTCAAGCAACAAGAGATTTCCTAAAACGATACCAGGTTCTGAGGAGAGTCCATGGGTATACGGGTCATCAGTGCTAATAATTACCTTCAGCTCCCTTATGGGAAAAAGATGGGATTAGGGTACTATCGATTTTAAAAATAAAAATTTTCAGGGTAGTGTAGTATAGTAAAGCATGCAAATAGTTTCAAGGAACATGATATACTAATACATTCAGAAATATTGGTACAATATTAAAACAACAAAAACAGTGGACAGGCAAATATGAACAGGATAAGGATACAGAAGAAAAACTTTCTCAGCATATATTATACAAATACAGTATGCTACAAGTAGATGTAGTGCTAAGAACAATATTAACCTAGATAAATTTCATATACAGGAAACACTGATATTACTGCAATAACTAAAACATGGTTTAATTTAAAGAATCGAAACATCCTTGCCAAATGCCACATAAAAGGACAAAGTACTGTATTCTACACTGATAGACAACAATAAAGGGGATAGAGTAGCACTTTAGCATAGAAGTGTTGCATCAGAAATATAAAATCTGAAAGAACTGACACTGAATTGGTTTGGTTGCAGTTTTTCTAGAGGAAATAAAAAACTGATATTAGGTGTTCAGTGCTAACCTGCAATACTAGAAAACAACCAAGGGAGGAGACTTGGAGATGAAATTATTAAGGCTTCATATGATAATTAACCAAATTGACTGGAATTATTTGACAGGGAGATTTAAGACTTCAACAATAGTCCAGGACTATTTTCTGAAGCAGTCTGTAACAGAACCAACCAATGGAATAACCTGCTTGACCTAATTTTAGCAAACAATGAGGATTAGTTATGGTAAAGGCAATGTTGGCAAAGGATACTCAACTTAAGTTTAGCATGATGTTTTGTGAAAATAATAATACAAGTGTATGAGACAAAAAGGCGAATTTATAAAATTAGGATACATGTATTGGCTACAGAAGACTAAGAATTTATCAAACTGTTAATAATTTTGGTAATTTTACAAGACATGCCAAAACAATTACTATAATGCTCAACAAGTTTAATCATGCCAAAGTGTACTATTAATACTTTGGCTAATATAACATCAATAGTTATAACACTATGTTCTATTTTCTTGTATCAAAGACAGCAAGGATAATATACAATGTCTGCTATTGGTTCCAGGAATTAGTCTCAGACTAGTCCTAAAATGGAATGGAAATATTACAGGAAAGTGTATTCCAAGTGTAAGTGGAAGTCCATAAGATTTTCTTAGAACGACAAATAGTTACACAAAAGTTTTACTGATGAAGTTTCAGCCACAAAACGAGTTTAAGTCAAATCTGTTGGTGACTTGATAAAGCTCACTGCATGGGGTGAAACTGCATCAATAACGGCATCTGTGTCTATCATTGTGTCAGTCTCTCATACCATTACCCACTCAAGATTTACCTGTCACATTACACATTCTTGAAATGCCAGGAAAAGACTGGTTATCCTGCCAGAGTGTAAAAAGGATAACAGGCTTCCATTTCACACTCGTATGACATATGGTGAATTGGAAGCCTGCTTAATCTTTTGCATAAAATTATTTCCCAAACCTTAAACAATATTTAAATAAAACTATTACATATATCAAAATGAAATACTGTAAAATTAAAATTTAGCAACAAATCAGATCAAATTTATAATATAAATTAAGATAAAACCACAAATAAAGTTATGATCATTAATATAATGAATAAAAATATTTATGAAGTTGAACACAGTGGTAGAAATAATGGATAAAAAAATCTGTGAACTAATAACTAGCTAAATGAATATTTTTTTTATTAGCTGTGAAATCATTTAGTTATCTATAAAATACTACTTAGTGAAAATGTTTTGCACATACTGTTCTAAACAAAAATAAATAAAAGTTCCACGGAGATATTTTGCTGTGACAATATTCCAGAACTGGATAAACAGGATTGGGAATTAGTATTTATCTCATTATGATTCAAAGTGTTCACTTTCTTGAGTCATATTCTTATACTATTCCCATCACATAAACTAATAAAAAATATACAATGACTGACACAATAGCCAAGAAGCCTCCTCCATAGACAGCACGATTATAGATGTGGTGGTTTGAAGACCTAAGTAACTTGATAATTCCTTCCACTTGCTTTCTGTAGATAAAAATTAATACATGTCTTAAAAAAGATAATATAGCTACTACAGGAAAGTCTTTATATCACCAAGTATATTTAAACAACATACAGGGAGTGTTTTCTTTACAAATTAAATCACTAATGCATCTTCAATGAAACATTTCACCCAGCAAATTATTTATGTTCCATTCTTCTTAAATATCCAAAGACTCAGCATAATAAATACACACACCAACCTGGTAGCTTCTATACTTCCTGAGTTTTCAATGATGATGTCAGCCATACTGCATTTTTTGTCAAGTGGCATTTGGGCTTCAATACGAGATATGGCTTCCTTTTCAGTGAACTGGTTTCTAGCCATTAACCGTTCCAACTGCATCTCATCATCACTGCAATGATTGTGTAAAATCGTTGTTTTTTTTTTTTTTTTTTCCTAACAAACCGGCCGTCTCCCACTGAGGTAGGGTGACCCAAAGAAAAAAACACATACCATCACTCACTCTATCAATCTTACAAGAGGAGCACCGATACTACAGTTCTGGAGCACAAAATAAATATTTTTTTAATGTAATTAAGAAAAATTACTCCTGCCAAGAGTCATATTGGAAGACTATAAAATTGTTCATTAAACTGGTATAGTACTAATAAGTCATGTTTCCATGTACATTTTAATTTTTATGCACATGATATTTTATATAGCAGAACTTTATTTTACAGTACAAGTTAGTTCATAAGAAGCGCAATGTATTATCTTGTCTTTATCACTGCAAATTTTCCAGTTGTCTTCATCTGGTATAAAAATGCAGCAGCTTATACAGCATCATTTGCATTAATACTGTACAATAATACAGAATACTGAATTAGTGTTATTCATATTCAGATCAAATGAAGCCAACAGACTGGTACTGTATATAAGAATATTGTTACTTATGACAATACCCAGGGAAAAGGGCTGGTGACTTACCACGTGACGACAATAGTCTTGTACAGGTAAGGTGCAACTTTATTGCTTTCATATAAGAGTGGAAGATCTAAAACCACAAACTGCTCTCCTGAAAATTTTGAAAAAAAAAAAAAAAATAGAATATTTTAGTAATATACAGTACTGATACTTGGAGTTTTGTGAAATTTAAAGCTACCATTTTTCTATTTATACAGTACAGTACTGTATTTTTTTGATATTCAGTTACCCTCAAGCACAATAATATTCATAAAAAAAAAAAATGTTATGCTCAGAGGAGTATTCAGAAAAAAAAAAGTGGCATACCCAGTAAAAGTATGGCAAAAGAAAAGAGCAACAGGTATAATAGCCATGGGTACCTGCAGAACATGCCAAACTAAGGCTGAGGGCTATGTAAAACTTAAATACATAGTTTATTTTTTATGCAAGTATATTATAAAACTAATTCTTTGACATTTAAATATCAGTTTATTCATGTAGTGCATGTGGGTGGTTGCTTTAAATTACCCTTTTAGAGTGATACTGTACTAATGAACACTCCTGGCATCTAAAATTAATTAATTATTTTATTATTATATACATTTAATGTTTATTTAAAAGGAAATTTATACACATTTAACCTTTCAGAAAGTTAAAGATGACTTGCCGGCGTATTTCACTATATATCTCTGGGTGAGTTATCTTGTTGATGATCTTCCGTTTCGTTGCATCAGAAAATATCACTTTGCCCAGCTTTACTCTATCAAGTTCTCCTGATAAAAATAAAGGCCATGTTATTTAGATTTTAATTATCAATTTACAGTATGCACAGAATACAGATAGGTCTCACAGTCGTGGAGAGAGGGTTGAGTTTTCACCGAATGTCCCACATGGGTTCAGTGCCTCACACTGCGCATATACTGTATACTGTACTCCTATACAAACAACAGCTAAGATTATCATATTAATGGAGAGCACTAAACCCCTGTGGGTCATTCAAACTTTGTGAGTACATACATAAACTTTTATTTTGTCTTTTCTTTTAGACTTGATAAAGCTGTTTGTCCCAAACGTAAAGCTGTCTGCAGTATAGATTCTGCTGTGGGTAGGGTCTTTCTCTCCATGTCTTTGCTAGCAGTATTTGCTATACTTCTTATGCAGTGCTTTGATGTTAAATACCGAACTGTCAGTTTTATAAATAAATATACAACTTAAAATATATACTGATTACTGTACTATATTTAGATTATTAAAGGGCTGACTTTTACAGTATCCTTTTTCTCAATAACGTACCAACTTACAATGTCCAGGCATATTATGATTGTTTGAGGACTATTATAATACTTTTTATCATCACACCGGCCGATTCCCACCAAGGCAGGGTGGCCCGAAAAAGAAAAACTTTCACCATCATTCACTCCATCACTGTCTTGCCAGAAGGGTGCTTTACACTACAGTTTTTAAACTGCAACCCTTAAACCCCTCCCTTTTGGGGGGAGGGGACGTAACTTCCCCCTCTCCAGGGGCTCAAGTCGGCCTGCCCGGTTCCCCAATCCCTTTATAAATGTTACTTTGCTCACACTCCAACAGCACTCAAGATTAAAAACCTTTGTTCCATTCACTCCTATCAAACACGCTCACGCATGCCTGTGGAAGTCCAAGCCCCTCGCACACAAAACCTCCTTTTCCCCCCCCTTCCAACCCCTTTCCCAGGCCAACCCTACCCCGCCTTCCTTCCCCTACAGACTGATACACTCTTGAAGTCATTCTGTTTCGCTCCATTTTTTCTCATGTCCGAAAACCCCTCAAAACCCTTTCCCCACCCTCTGGACAACAGTTTTGGTAATCCCCCGCACCCCCTCCTAACTTCCCCAAACTACGAATTCTCTGCATTATATTCACACCACCTTTCCCCTCGACATGACATTCCACTGCCTCCAGCCTTCCCTCGCTGAAACATTCATCCCCCCACCTTCACCCCATAAAGAGCGTTGGAAAACTATACTTCATACTTTCCCCCTCTTTGCCCCCAAGGACAAATTTTTTGTTCCACAGACTCCTAAGTGCACCACCACTTTTTTTCCCTCATAAATTTCTATGATTCACCCTTTTTATAGACCCTCCGCTACCTCCCCTCCCAAATATCTGAATACTTCACCCCCTCCATACTCTCTCCCTCCAATCTGTATTAAATCTTTCTTCCAAACTAATCTTTTTGTTATCCCATAACCTTACTCTTTCCGATTTACCTTTAATTTTTTCTTTTGCACACCCTACCAAAATTTTCCACCATCTTGCAACTTTTTTCAGAATCTCCAAGGAAAAAATTTTTTTAAAAATTTTAAAAAGTTTTTTGGGGTAATTTTTTATTCTTTATAAGCAGACCAATTGAATATCGTGGACCCCACATAAAAAATAATTTCTCCCCAAGTCTTTTTGGGGCCTTATAACCGAATTTGTTCCCCAAAAAGATACTGTGAATTAGATTATCCATTTCAGACCCCCCGAAATACACCTACAAAAACACTTACAAAAATACACTTTCATAACGGTCGGTTGGGGAGCTGATCGTTATGTGGGGGTCCACGTAGTTGCTTTATTTTCATCCAATTTAAAATTTTTTGAATGAAGAAAAAGAAAACTGCTAATTTTACTTTCAAAGTAGTCATACTTTCCGAATCTAAAAACACTTCATCTCCAAATTTTGCACGAATCTTCTTTGATACCCTTTTACCAGGCTCCACAACTGCCAACAGGAGAGATTAAATGAGTGAAACTGAATTCCATCTTTAAATACAAGATAATCTTTCAAGTTAGCTATAAATCCACTGATGATCCAGATGATGCAAAAAGGCAATTTTCTCTTATGACTGAACAGCAAAGCCTAGATTTAACATACTAATGGAGGGAGGGTGTCTGATAATGCCAATCATCCATTAAATCCGAATGATGACATGTCCGCTTTCCGGTGGTAGCCTGGAACCTAACCTTCCATGTAAGTGGGGCCCTACTGTATAATGCTTTGTTACCTACTAGTTTCACATGTTCCCATAAATGGATTAAGCAGGAACTGCTGTGGTGCAGGGGAGGTCATAAGGACAAATAATATTTAGATCAAGCAAACTTAATGAAATCTTAACAAATCTTAAACAAAATATTGAGTTAATAAGAATTTTAGGATCAAACCCAGGTCAGCTAGGTGGTATTCCATCTCTATACCTCTGGAAACATTTAATAAAACTTGCTGAGGTTTTGCATAACACCATGAATTACCAAGTCAACCATATTGGACATGAAGCTCCACTGACAACCATGTATACATATCTCACATATATACAATACTTATCATTTTTCTGTCCCTGGGTGCTTCATGACCAGGTCATACATCATGTTTCAAATGAATTTAATAATAATAAATATAACTGATAAAATAGAGCTATCTGTGTAGTGAACATTTAGTATCTATAGAGTATTTCATAAATTCTTTTAAAAATGTGAGTTTTATTTGTTACCATATATAAATGATTATGACTGCTGTGGATTCACAGCATCATGAGTGGATACAGTACTTCACTTCAGAAATGTTAATAGTTATGAGATGGCATCATGCAGCCCCAGGTAGTTAGTGAAATGCTGTGTGCCAACAAGTGCCGGAAAAAATACATTATGTACTGTACAGTAGTATAACAAAAGCAGACCTTTTATTAAAAGGTCTGCTTTATCAAATACAGTACAGTACTTGAGAAAAGACTCTTGTAAATGAAATGTCATATTTAATAACAGGTTTGCTTTTATTATGTTTTTTCTACTTGCCACTGACATAGAATTTTTACCCATCTCTAGAGAAAACATTGGTATGTATCAAGGCTTTTGCAGACTTTCATATATTTCCCTGTATAGCGACCAGTAGTGTACACCATACAATGATATAAATCACGAGTGTATTGCATAGCTTATCAATACAAGTTCACATGCAGTTGCGTCCAACATAGCTAACAAGTGTAAATATGCTGATATTATTCACATGATTGCAAAACCTCGTCAATATTGTCCGAATACATGTATATACTAAGAAACTTAATATAAAAGCTTATTAATAAACTAGGCATGACAAGTCAAAGTTTCTCTGTTAATATCACATACCAGGTTAAAATTTAAACATTTTCATAAGAGCACACAGTACAAAAATACCATAACAGTAAATACTAACTCTGCCTGGCAATAAGGTCTGCATCAACTACAGGGATGCCCATATCCCGAATCATTGCACTAACAGTACTCTTGCCAGTTGCTATCCCTCCAGTTAACCCTACAAGGAACATTTCCGGCTGTAATATTAAGTAGAAGTGGTTGAAATTTCTTAGTAGGCTGGCCTAGGAGCAGTGAATCTGCCCATTCGCAATTCGGTGAATATTGAGTAATGTAGTCTTTCCGTGTTGTTTGTTGATTTTATTGAAGAACAGCAATGGAGTCGTGTTCTGAGCTCTACGTGCAAGTGTCCAGTGTTAAAAATATTGTTCAAACTGGGGAAGAAAAATAAAAAAGATAAGATGAATCTCCTCCAGAATCTGATGGTTGGTGGCCACTTTCCCCAGTCAGGAGACGATCTTCAACACAGGAAAAAGGATCGATCTTTCACTTCTCAGTTGCAGAGGCGGCCTAAAAACAACATAGGGATTAAACCACAGATGTCCAGAGCAGGGCGAGACGTCTACACTTTTATCAAAGTTCACGCTGGAGTCGTGTAAGGTCCTGCTGGCTGCTGATTCATGTTCCGTGCTGTGTTTATATCATCAGCTGATCTGTGTTGTGGTCGCGTCCAACACCTTAGCATTTGCAGCTATTCACAATAAAATTAATAAGTTTTTACTTGCACAAATATGCAGGTGTATTTTTTCCTGTAAATGTAGATGATTGGTGCATCGTTTGGTCAGATTATATACAGTCCTCTAGCCAGTTATTGTATGGACGATTTGAATTAGTGAGTTACTTAAGTTTATTCAGGGAGAGGTACACATAAGTACATTTATCATACATACTGCTACTACACTATAGATGTCCTTATACGTGACTCATAGCTCAGTGGAAAGATACTTGGATCACATCAGGAAGGACCTGGGTTCAAGACATTTGGAGAATTCCCCGGGTGTCTCGTAACACCAGTTGCTCCCTTTCAGCTAGCAGTAAATAGCTATCTAGAATATACAGTACTTGTACTTAAATATTAGGGAATCACATCCTAGAAGATGCGACATTAAGCCACACTGCTTGGTTTCTTAGTTATATAGTAGTATAACTACTGTTCAGCGCTGTATGACCCTTCTGGCGTTAGCTCTTATTTCTGATTCCAATAATGATAATAATTAGTTACTTCTTTGTTTGGCTCATAGGAAATAAATTTTTTATTTATTTTTTCCAGAAGTTAATATTTATATATGGTACACAAAACGCAAATATAAAACATATATCATATTATCTGCTAAGTCTCAGTAAGTATGTTATCTCGCAATATTATTCCTACATTTACTATAAGTTTTTAGCTGTTATCCGAAATATGTAAATTCTAAGGCACTTATATTTTTATTAACAACTGTAATACCCGTAGACAGAGAATACTAAAATAAACATTTTTACGATCTATATGCATTTTCACATCTAACCAGAACAATTTATAAACTAAGAGGTCACTTAAGTTACATGAGATTTATTATAAATTATTGAAGCATCAGCATTTCCGCAATAGCCTGATCCTATAAAACTGCTTGTGCGGAGGGCGTGCATATACCAGGATTGTTAGGCTCCCTGTTTAATATAATATGCTGTATAAAGGAAGTGCAGGGCTAATGGAGGTTGCTGGAGGGCTTGGTGGTCACCCATCCAGTTGCTGGACCAACAGAACAGGTCTTCACCTGATTGACTGTGTCACACGCGTTATTTGCACCTCAATCTCAGTGGCTTAGTACATGTACGTATGTATATTGTATGTATGAATTTAAGTCTCTGAGGCAGTGGGGTCCCCCCAGTCAGTAACACACACACGTACGTACATTAAGAAATTAGACAAAGTGTAGAGGTTTGCAACAAGACTAGTCCCGGAGCTAAGGGATGTATATCCCATGATGAGAGGTAAAGGGAACTCAACCTGACGGTACTAGAGGACAAGAGGGATAGGGGGACATAATAATAATAATAATATCTTTGTTTCTACAAGTACATGTACAAGATATGCAGGGGTAGCTGACATCAGTGACATACTACTATATAGGAAACCCCTGGTTATGCAGAGCATTTCGGGCAAATTAAGTCAATTTTGTCTCAGGATGTGACCCACACCAGTCGACTAACACTCAGGTACCTATTTTACTGATAGGTGAACATGGACAGCAGGTGCCTTAAGGAAACACGCCTAATGTTTCCAGCCGTACCGGGATCGACCCCCGGATCTGTGTGTGAGCTGATGTGCTAACAGTCGAGCTACGGGACATAAAATACTGAGACGAACTGACAAGATGGACAGGGCTAGAATGTTTCCGAGATGGGACAAAGGAACAAGGGGATACAAATGGAAGTTGAAAACTCAGACGAGTCATTACGATTTCGTGAGTCATATAAATGTTAGGAAGTATTTCTTCAGTCATAGACTTTGTCAGGAAGTGAAGCAATCTTGGACAATGGACCTAGTAGCGACCAGCGAAGAGGCGGGGGCCAGGAGCTGTGGACCGACGCCTGCAACCACATATAGGTGAATATACATACTCTTACAACCACAACTAGGTGAGTGCACACCCACACACACACACACACACACACACACACACACACACACACACACACACACACACACACACACACACACACACACACACACACACACACACACACAGAGGTGGACAAAGACGGGATGTTCCAGAGATGGGACACAGACACAAGAGGTCACAATTGGAAGTTGAAGACTCAGACGAATCAAAGGGATGTTAGGAAGTATTTCTTCAGTCATAGAGTAGTCAGGCCATGGAATAGCCTAGAAAGTGATGTGGTGGAGGCAGGAACCATACATAGTTTTAAGGCGAGGTATGATAGAGCTCATGGGGCAGGGAGAGAGAGGACCTAGTAGCAATCAGCGAAGAGGCGGGGCCAGGAGCTGTGAATCGACCCCTGCAACCACAAATAGGTGAGTACACACACACACACACACATATACAACAGGCCTAGTGTCTAATCGACATGCGCCTAGGACACAATGGTAACTAACACACACACACACACACCCCAATGGAAATAAAAGGACCCCAATGGAAATATAAAGGACCCCAATGGAAATAAGTCACTCTGTCTGACTTTTTTGGGTTATCCTAGGTTCTCTACACATATGCTGCTATATATGATAATTCTATGTAACTGTATTTGTGTATACCTGAATAAACTTACTTACTTACTTACTTACTTACTTACACTCGACACCTGCAACCACAAATAGGTGAGTAGTTGTTAGTTTAATATGTTTATTATGCACCCCATACCCATCCTGTGGGCGGTAGTCAAAAGATTACAGAGGTACATAATTGGTCCAGGGACTGGACTCCAAAGTTTTGATAGCTGAGCAAGTTACAGAGGTAATGAACTCACAATTTACAAAGGTAATGAACTCACAATTTACAAAGGTAATGAACTCCAGGTAAGTCTGGTCACAATCATGACAAGTTACAAAGGTATTTACAGATTACAGAGGTACGTAATGGGTCCAGGGACTGGGCCCCCAAAGTTTTGATAGCTGAACTAGGTACAAAGGTAATGAGCTCACAAGTTACAAAGGTAATGAATTCTGTAGAATGGTTACGGAAGTAAGTAAACAAGTCAAATTGTCTTTATTGGGTTATCTTAAGTAAGATATAATTAATATACCTTTTATGTGCTCATAATGTGTGTGTGTCCTCAAGAAAACTATAATTTTTGTTGTATGTTATATACGCAAAGCCTAAATAATTTAGACTTGCATTCTTTTATTACATACATGTTTATTGTATGTACGTTTGTTTCACGCATGTATATTGTATGCATTCATGTATGTATATTACATAATGTCCATACATACAGTATGTATGAACAGTGCATAATTTTTTGAATGCATAGATACACAGCAAGTACCGTTATACATGCCATCCATGTTCACTGTCACTTCGAGTGCCATCCTACTCCACATATTTATTTTAATATATTGTCACACACAATAATAAACCAAGTTATAACAACATATTTGTCAAAGATCAAATTCCACAATTAATACCAAAATTAAAGGACCTGAATGGAAATAAGCCACTTTGACTAGTTTGTGGGAGTATCCTAGATAATTTACAAATATGCTACCATGTATAATAATTTGTGTAACAGTATTTATGTGTATCTGTGCCTAAATAAACTTACTGTACTGTATAAGTTGTATGATGTACTGGTAGAAATAAAGTAGTCTGGGCCAGAGGTGTCTCCTGGCTGGCCAATGTTGGTCAACTTCACGGTGGGTCTCCTCATATTATTGCATTTATTTCAGGTTATCTCTCTAGGTAGGTCTATAGATGCTCCATCATTTGATGCCTTTTAAACTCAATCACCTGTGAAGGGTTCAAAGTAACTGAAAATTAACATGGGAAATGCATTACGAGTGTATAATATGGGTGAATATTTGTTATCACCTTATGTGTGTAATCTTTGTGGAATATTTGTGTTGGTTCCAAAGGTTAAGTGAAACAAATGTTAAGTATTTGATTTATAACTAGCCACACTAATTTTGAATGACATTAATGGGAATATAGGTGCTGGCCTTAGTGTCTTTACATTTTCGTTTGTTTTTAGGGAAATGCGCTAAGCCCGCATGGGTCATACAGCGTCAGGAGAATGGTAGGTTTTTAGTCTCGATTCAAAAAATGAGGGGAAAAAATTTTAAATTTCCCATGGACAAGTTCCAAACCCCGGCATCAAGGCCCCCTCTTTTTGGGAAGATAAAATTTAAAAGGTACGGTAAGCAGTGTTTTGCCCACCCTTGGGTGAAAACGTAGTAAAAAGATTACTGAAAACCGGTCTTTGTCCTTATGAGGCCCCCGCAGAAAATGGATTGATTTGGCTAATCCTACCCAAAATAAGGAAGTTATTATTATAAAAAAAAAAGTGCTAAACCCCAAGGGTCACACGGGGCAAAAAACACAGTATTTTTTGTGTGCTGTAACTTTTCTCCCTTTAAAACATGTGTGCCATCAAGACCATCGTAAGAAATAATTTATCTATCCCAAGCTTAAGTGAAAAATTTACCTGGATATTAACTTTTCTCTGATTGTTGGTGGGGAGAAAAACAGTGACTAAGAAAGTTTTTTCAGCTCCACACAAATACATTTTTACAAGATTATCATACATAGCAGCATATGTGTAAAGTACCTAGGATAACTCAAAAAAGTCAGAGTGACTTATTTCCATTGGGGTCCTTCAAATTAACAATGCCAGTGGGTTAATAACAAAAAAGAACCCCAAAGAAAGTTAACCCGTGCGGTTTTTTTCCCATTATGACTCTTGGTCTTCACTCAAAAATGGGGCCCCCACGCATTAAAACCAAAATTGTATTTGCTGTTTTTCTTAGGGGCTAATATGGGAGCAAGTGTCAAGGTCTTCCCCATATTTTGTTTCCACCTGGGATTCAGTTTTAAGCCATTTCTCTGTGTTACTGGGACAGATTTCCTCCATTCACAATTGGGGCAGTTTCTTTAAAAATCAATTTTTTTTCCCTTTTTGTAAAGATTACAATGTGGGTTTAAATTAAAAAATTTAATTACAGTGTGTGGTTTACATATAAAATATTAATTACAAAAAAGGGCCCACTAGTAGCCAGGCATTAGGAGACTAAACAGACTCGCGAAATCGTATGAAACGTTTGCAAACAAACCATACCCACAGTGGGGATAGAACCCGGATCAGGAGCCCTAAAATCCAGCCATCGCGTTAGCCACTGGGCCACTAGCCACAAAAAAGATTTTCCAACTAGTTGGACGAATGTATTGTGTAGCGGGCCCAGGGGCTAACGTGGCGGTCGGGTTTTTTGAGACTCTTGATCCCCCTGTTTACCCCCTGTCTGTGGTATGGTTAGACTAATACTAGTTTTTTACTCTATTTTGACACAGGTTATTGGGCATACTGATATTAAAGTTAGGTAACTGTAGTGTTTAAAATAGTTTTACAATAGGAGGAATTTAAAAGCATTTAAGATATTACTGGGGAAAAAATTGCTTTTTTCTGTATACATTTATACATAACAGAAAATAAACATAGAAAATTTATTATTTACAGTTAGAAATGGGATTTGGGACCCCTTTGGTTGCAAAAAATGCCCCCCCTTCGATACCACAAATTTTCTATCCCAATTGCTTGGACCTTTTAAAATTAATGAAATATACATCACCAGGAATGCGGAAAATATATAAATTTGTGGACTGATTTAAAAAATAATAAATGGTTAAAATATAAACAATTACATAAAGAAGGAGAATATTTTAAAAAAACACTCCCAATTTTAAACTGGAGTTAATGGTATCTACTAAAAAAAAACCTCACGCTTTGAAAAAACACGGGCCCGGGGTTATACAAAAACCTTACTGAGGTTCCGGGGCGTCTTGTCCAGTCCCCTGATAACCAAGTTATCAGTAATGCCATCCAAAAATTTCGCCCCCTATTTGAGAGGTGTCACCCCAATTTTTAAAAACCTTAGAGCACAAAAAATTTCTTCCCATTACACCAAACGTTTCTAACCAAAAATAAAAAAAATGGCGTGTCTCTTTTTTAAAAATACACTTTTTTAAATAAAAACATGGGCATCTATTTACCTATAAATTACCGTTTTCCCGGAAAAATACGTATTTTCCCACTGTGGCCAGGCGGGGTCGTTGAAAACGCTAAATTGTGATTTGGCACGGTGGAGGACCTGGGTAC